CTGTCACAGCTTCTTTGCCATACGCAGGCTGGAAAACAGATTGAAGGGGTCAAAAAATTCAGAAGGCTCCACATGATCCGACATTTGCCTTGTCACAATTTTCTTGACAACCAGAAGGTTGCAGACAGTTTGCTGGTCATCGGGAACGGCGGTGTGGGATGACTGATGACTGAGCTGGGGACAAGCAGCCGTTCAATCAACGTCCTGCTCCTCAAAATGGTGCCTTCCACAAGAACTCGGGGTGTTTTTAGCCTGCTCATTTCAGAGGACAAATGTGATGGAGTTGTTGGAGCGTATGAACATTTCTTCATCTTGCAGTGATGCTCCTGCAGCTACAGAGGTGATCTTCAACCCAAGCAATATCCAGAGGTCCAAACTTCAGTGCCTTTCTTTTTGCACTTCACTGCATTTGCAGAACAATCTCTGCTGCAAAATACATTACAATTGAAGCAATGTTCACGAACAACACGTCGTCTTTGTTTCAGTTTTTGCTGCTACTTTCCAGTTTGTTGGTGGCTATGTTGAATGTAACTCACCCGAGCTCATTCTCTGTATGCAGATTTCCCTGTTCACCTTTCGTTACTTGCCCTGTGCCTTCAGTGCCAGCTTTGTACCCTCCTGCTGCTACCCGGATGCTGCTGCTGCATGAACAGACACCGATCCGTTTGCCTTCAGCTGCTCTCATTCTCTTTCCATCAGATATTTTTGGTGTCTGACATGCACTGCAAGGACAAGCTGTGCTTTCGTGCACAGCTTTCTTTTGAAGCGCTTGCACCTTCACCTTGTGAATGGTGGCTAACTGTATGACGAGTGTACTGGGACACTGGGAAGGATGATGTTTGCATACAGCTAAAAAAACAAAACCCATCCAGAGTGGCTGGCGAGGCCCTGGGCTCGTTGGCCATGAAGAAGAGGAGAAATGCAGCCAGGGCTCGGTGCCAGGGAACAGCAAGAGGGCAAAGAGCTGCTTGGCCAGGCCTGCTGATGTGGCATTCTGGCAGCAGAACTCCAATGGTCATCCCCACATCACTCCAACTCCATTCACCAGTGATGGCTCAGGACCACAGGCCACACTAGATAGCCTGTGCATTCCTAAATCTCTCTCAGCAGCTCTCCTGACAGAAACTGCAGGCCTGCATATGGGTGAAGTGCTACCCCGAGCCCCTTAGAAGATTATCTGTAACTAAAAAGTGGTGTTGGGATTAAATGTTGCTTGGAGAAAGCAACATTTTTGTTGGGCATTACAAAGAAAGCATTTCATACACCACAGATGTGTTGTGGTTAAACACTGGGGGAGTGCTGCTTGACCGTCACTCCCTAAAATTAAATCTGCATTCAGGTATCACGGTGATGCTACTTTCTAAAAGATATGGAACGTGCTTAGAAGAAGAGCAGAAATAAGGATCACATTTGAGTCGTACATTGTAAAAACCGTGGTCCATAATCTATGTCAAACTTCTGAGGAAAGCTGAGCCGTGATAGCAAATTCAATAAATAAAAGCAGTAATTTTTCAAACGATCACATTGTGGATGAATGGAAACACCGTGGTTTTTCACTACCAACCTCAGATCTGTGTGAGAAAACCTCACAGATCCCACTGCCTGTGTTCTGACCTCCAACCAACCAGGGCCAGCCGTTAGCTGTGCCATGCTGCACAACAAGCACAGCCCCATAACGAATGACAAACACGGCCAATGTTCAACAAAGACACAAGATTTCTACAAGGAATTGTTCTCAATCCTGCAGCCCCCAGCCCTAGTGGTAGATTTGCCATGTCTAACCTGAGTCCTAGAGCTAATTAGCAGAGGAGGAGGGACACCAGGTGCTGTTCTGCCCCATGTGCTCGCAGCCCTCGCTGCCATGTTCCAGGTCCACTCGCTGTAACAAATGAAAAGCACTGTTTAAAATAACTAAATAAGGCACTTGAAGAGGTTTTAAAAATTGATAACTGAACGTACTGTATGCGATCGATCTTAATTACTGCTCAAGTGGAATTTTTTTTTTTCTTCTGGCTTTTTTCAATGGGGGAAAAAATAAAAGAGCAACCATTAACGAGAAACTTTAAAGGCTCGTTAACAATATCCTTTCATCAATCACAAGGGCTGCCAGCACACCGCACTCATGTCAATTTTCACCTCGTGGCCCCGCTACCAGGCCCAGGCTCCTGGCCAGCCCCACATGGATGAGCTGGCCACAGCGTGAGGCTGATGGAGCCCAGACCGCCCCGCCGTCGCCCGCCGGTGCCGCTGGGTCCAGCCCCGGCCCCACCACGCTGCCAGCAGCCTGTTACTTCACACGGACCAGGGGCTGGTCTGGATCAGCCCGCGGAGGGCCGATAAGGGGTGAAGGGGATGCAGCCCGGACAGTGAAGCTGTGGTGCCGGAGCCAAGGATGGCCCTTCTTGCCCCTCCGGCAATAGCAATGTGGGGGGAAAAATGAATGCTTGAGAAAGATCAGATTTCTTTTTTTGCCAAGAAGAGGGCACCACAAAAATAGCAAAATTAAACATAAATAACATGGAAATCCCAGCCTGTAAAAGAGGGAAAGATTTCGGGTTTTGCTAAGGTGTATCTCTGGAAAAGAAATAGAGAGAAAGCTGGGAAAAACGCTATCTTTTCAAGCCACACATTAATCGTATTTATTTGTTACTCATACCCTGCGCGTGTTATTTGAAATAAAAATAGCACATAGGCCTTTGACGAGCTGTATTTGCACATCAATGTAACTGAAATATCCTGTGTGCTGTAATGGCAAGTGAGCACGCTGTCAGTAATATTTTCCATTGTTTTTAAAGCCAGCCACAGCAGCTCAGACTGGAGGCATACAGTAACCCAACGAGGGCAGGGAGTTTTAAAGGGAAGCCTTCGACTGCTATTTCTGTTCAATTTCTGCAGGAATTATAAAAGGAATTACAATTAAATCTGTAAATGCAATTCTTTGAGGATTTTTACATTCCTGTAAGATTCTTACTAAGCAATTACTCTTGAAATAGTACATAAATCTTACAGGGCTCCCATTGGATTACTGTGCTTTAAGTTTTTAAGCAATCTTTCTGTGGCTTTATTTTTTTATTGCATTTTTTTTTTAAAAGAAAGCAGGTCTTCAGCACCACCTCTCAAAGCAAATCAACATTTTAAGGCAACGTGTATCTCCTTGACTTGGGAGCAATACGTATTACAAACATTATGACTTTTACATATTGTAAAACATTGGACAAAATGATTAAACGCAATAATCTGAGAGATTTCTGGAAGAAATAACGATCTGTGATGCTATAGAAAACACGGGTTAAAATTATTGCCCCTTGTCTATTATTTAATATATTTGGAAAAAGGTAACACTGTCCTACCAACTACATCACTGCTCATCATTCAACCAACAGGCCATACAGCAAGCATCAAATATTATGTACAAAGTGCCTGGTGCTCAAGAACTGTTTAGTAACACTGAACAGCAACTTTATGGGGCAAATCATTCTGGCCCTCATCAGATGTCTAATTCCTCCAAATGAGTTGGTTGGAAGAATAGTGGGACAAGAAGATTTGGGGATATATCTAAAAACTGCCTTGTATCTGCTATGAATTGCTCTCCTGTTTAAGATGCTTACAGTATGAGCTCATAACGCGGTAAACTCTGCCTCCAAGGAAGTGATCTGTAACAATCCCTGAGCCTGGGGCCCTTCCCCATTTGGTACTGATACATAGGATGCAATCTGCATTTTTCATTCCGGCATAAGACAGTACAACCAGTGTCACCACAATGCTGCTGTAAATCTGACCCAGGAAATACAACGTGTTCCTTTTAAATATTTCCATTGGCCTTAGACTGGCTGTAGAGAGTGTTTTGTATGGAAAAAAAGAAGGAGGGGGGAGAATGACCCACCGCAAAATTCAGTTTCTTCCATGGTCAAGGGCATCTATTTCATTATAAATGTAGTTCCGCCAAAACAAATATTATTTTTGAATCTTTCATTATCTTAGTCTCTGGAAATGGGCTAAAACAGCATGTGTTGGTATTAGATGCTGCAGAGCCAGCTGTCGTGCCTGGCTGCACAGTGTCTCAATGTCAGCAGTTCAAAGCACTGCGAGGCTGAATGGGAGGAAACTTGATAGGTCAGAGGAACCCAATTCCAGGCAAAAAGAACATAGCTGTCTTGTTCCGAGCACTGTATTTTTTTTTTTTTCTCCCCACTGCATGTGCATACATACAGAGATACGTATTGGGATGCCAGTGTTTTAATATCTTTTCCCCACTCTGGTGTTTTCATAAACTCAGCAGTGACCTCAGCTCCATGCCGCCAGCAGGCCCTGCATGGCGGGGTGAGGAGGCCCCGGACCAGAACCGGCCCTGGGGTGATGTGGGCCAACAAAGGCAACACGGTCAGGGCCAGGCCCCTGCCACACCATGCCACGCCAAGAAGGGCCCAGCAGTGCCCATCAGTCACGGGCAGCTGCACGCCTAATTTACAGCCACACTCTCATCTGCAAACAAACCGCGGGCCTAGAGGTTGCTCTCAGGGATTTACAGTAGGGAAGGATGAATTTTAATAACTGATGCCAGCGCTCAGATTATTACCACAGAGCGGGGGTTGGCAGCCTCACAGCCCAGCTATGCACATGGCTGTGCCTGCCGTGCCAAGGTGGCACCTGCTGGAAGCTGAAAACACAGACACCTGAAAGAGCGAACGTGGCACAAAACATCGCTGTGGGTGTAAATGTGGGAGAGGTGAAAGTTTACATTTGGTATCGCATCCTTCTGTTGGTATCCCGTTATAAAAAAAAATAAAATACCCCCAAACTGTACATATTATAAGGCTATATTTTTATCCTGGGGTTCTGGTGACACGTGCAAACCACTTGAGCTTTGCTTTCGTGGTTTATATTGCCACCAGAAACCCTTGATAAAAATACAGCTTTATATTGTACAGTTGGGTATAGTTTATTTTCTCCATATATCACAAACCGTGTTTTATTTATAAACATACACAAAGACACTTGTACATGCAAAGCAGTTTTTTTATTGAAGTAATTCTGAGGTATCAATAATACTACATTAACTAAAGCACTGTAATACCGTAATTTCTTGGTCAGCAAAGACCCTTCTAAAGAGGCATGTCTGAAAATATGATAAACGCATTAAAAAAAATCAGTATTTCCAGCATCAGTATTAACTTGGAATTTAAGATTCCCATACTGAAAATTCCAGTTTCTGGTGGCTTGCAATTTCAGAGAACCCTTTCTATACCACCTCAGAATTCAATGCTAACATCTCTCCAATCCTTTCTGCAGAGAGGCTACAGGAAACAAAGCTTCACACAACAGAGAAACGGCAACGCTAAAGGAAGGCTACTGCTGCTAACGATGCAACTAAGATGAGCCCCATCCAAAACTGTGCCCAAGCTGCGCTCACCTAACTGCTTATTTTAAACATCTCAAGCAACTTGCCGGCCTCTACAGCTCCACCTGCTTTTTGCAACGATCACAAAAGAAACATTTGTACTCCTGCCTTGAGGACTTCTCACAATCCAGAAAGCAAATCTGTGAACAAGCAGCTCAACAGCCACCTCCCCCTGGCTGCCCCTCGCCACACACTGCGACGTGGGCTTTACTCAAAAACCATTTCAGCAGTCAGACAGCAGTGAGTGGGAACCCTGGCATGGGGCTGCCCGGGGACACGCTGGCCGCAGGGCCCATTGGCCACCCAGAAGCATCCTCAGGGGGATGCCTGTGCCTTGCGTTTATCACGCCCCTCTCATTCTCTTATCCTTGCTTTAATGGACATTAAATATAGAACAGAACAGAACCAGGGATGAGAACAAAATACATGCACAACAGGCCTGGACTGCTGCAGTCATTCTGCTGTAAAATGTAAAAACAAGAAAGGGCATACGAGCTGCATCCCTCAGGACGCATCCCGCTTTTTTAATATAGTGGTGCCACCACACATTCCACTTCGGATGTTGCATTATATTTATATGTCACTCAAATATTTACCATTTTTCTGAATTCTGCTGGGTGCTCTGAGAGCTCGTTATAAGCCAAGTTGCTGCAGTTGTGTGCCTTGGCTGTCGAGCAGCTGTGGCTGAGCCACATCAATCTGCTAACTTCTCTTTCTGGAGCTTCTCGTGTGACAAAAGCCACTCTTTCATAAGGTTTCCTCCTCCGTAGTTGCCAATCTGCCCGCTGCTGCAAATCACCCTGTGGCACGGTATGATAATCGGGATCTGCAAAACACACAGAAACAAGAAAGGAAGCAAAGGGTGAAGCAGAGGGGAGTGGAAGCAGAAGACCGGTGTGAAGAAGGGCTACAAGCAATAAATCAACTACTAAAGCAGAATTTAACTTCCACTGTGCTAGTAGTGGCATGGATTCAAATCCAGGTTAAAAACTGTGCTGGAGACTCCTGTCCACCTGTAAGGAGGATGCAGGAGTGTTGCACCAAGAGCTCTTTTCTTTCTGAGCCTGTACCCCTTCAGGATATAGACTATCCTGCAATGCCGATGGGCTCTGATAACCACCCAGCTGTTAGGAGAAAGCATTCAGAGAAATGCTATTACATAAAAATGATGCAATGTCTTAAAATAGGTAAAACCCATGCATAAAACTCCCTGTGTAAAATCTTCTATGGTAGAAGTGCATGCTCAGGCCCCAGAACTGCACTGCATTGGCCTGCAACTAATGATATGAAGTTAATGGGATGAATTATGGTTGTGTTGCCCATGCTCTCAAGTGCACAGGCAGTCACTTCCCACCCAGCAGGGACACTGCGTGACACTACACACACTGAGAGCAGAACCATCCCCAGCTCCCGGCTCTGGGGACACTGAGCAGCCAAGGCATGGAGCCATACTCCCTGGGGAGGGCAGTGCTGAGCATGCTGATGTGCAATGCCCTCCCCCTTGGAGCTCTGCTCCTGCCAGGCGATGCCTCTGCACAGGCAGCATTTAGGTTGGATGGGATGTTTCAAGGGATAAAAGGAAAGAGCATCATTTAAGACCATGCAGCACATGTGGGCATCTGTGCATTTGCAGCGAGCTCATTTTCACAGAACGAGACATCTACAGCCAGTGCCACCTCAAAACATACACATGGAGGTACAGGGCAATTATTAATAATCACGTCAGGGTTAGAAGAGGCTGCTTTCCTGCAAAAGAAGCCACTGAAAACACGAGAGCAGCACTTCCATGAATGAGCTCCACGAGTCTCAGCTCCTGCAGCCAATTCCTCTTCCCTCTAAAGCACCTCAACGTGCTCTGCTGAAAAATTCCATATAAGAACAAGGCATTATTTATTATTTAACAGCAAGTCAATCCAAAATGGGTTTTTAATTTTTAAAACCTACAACAGGAGAGATTTAATTCACACCTAGCCAATTTAAGAACTTCGTCTCATGCTTCCTCCTTTGTATCATTTATAGCCGAATGCCAGGGATTCTGAAAAATCAATGCAAGAAGTTACATAATGGACTGGTAATACAGAGAAGTACATAAACACACCTTTTTTTTTTTTTTTTTTAATCGCAGGTGATTATCATAGTTGAAATACACATCATAAAAAATGCAATACATCATCTTTAATCACGCAGTGTGTGTTCTGGTAACTACAGAGTAATTCAATTGCAATGACAGACCTGTGAGAAGGATAACTTACTAAAAGTGTGGATATTTTAAGTGAAAATACATCCATTTATCCATACATACATATGCACAAACTCTAGACAGACTTGTCTTTCTCCCATCTCGTATTTATTTCAGTAAAGCTCCAGCTGTGCCTGCATTGGAGCTAAAGACTCAGACCCCTGGACAGCTACAGGCCAGACCTTGAGCAACTATTTTAGGGCAGTTCTTTTGTTAGAGATTAGTAATTTAGACGGCTGAAGTTTTAAATCTCAATCTGAGCCCAAAAGCCATTGCATTAAAATGAAATACACATAGGTGCTCATTGTTAATCCAGGTTTAATAACAAATGCTTCTAATAGCTGCTTTATTTGGAGTTCGTGGTGCCACGAGTGAGTCAGGCATCCATGACAACTCCAGCGAGTCCCAGTAAAACCTCTCCTCTAGACCCCACCACCACACTCATGGTTTACGACTTCTTTAAACGTGCTGTTTTTGCAAGTGTTTTCTAATTCTTTCTGTTTGGAGTTTCCTCAGGTGTTACAAGCCACTTGCAGCAGTTAGTACAGGCAGATTTTCTTGCATGACAAAACAATCCTGAGCCATAAAAATAAACTGTAAGAACTCTCCAAGGTTAGATTGCAATTATTTAAAAACATAAAGAATGTATCAGGGTGTTTTGATGGTAAAGACACAAATCTTGGTGTGGACAATGGCCAAAAGCTCTTTCTGAGCCTGCTCCCTGTGACTGCTCAGACAGCAAAAAGCCAGCAGTCTGTTTGCTGGGAATTTGGTCAGAGAAATAAGCCGACACATTTCTAGAAGCTGTTAAATTGTGTTAGGGAACGGAAGGTTAAAAAAAAAAAGAAAGTACTGCATTGTGCAGAGGAGCAATGCCATCTGCAGCCAGGTTGTCAGCGCACGCTGTGGGTCTCAGGTTTCCCATGATGGCTGCAGGGCAGGTCCCAAAATCAGGGATGTGTGGCTGAGCTGCTCAGCATCACATCAAACACGGAAATCTGGCTTGGGTGGTTTGGAAAGAAATGGGGAATCTCAGATTTCTGCTGGGTTGCTTTCCTGTTGCGGAGTGCATGTATGTTGGTGAATCAACTTTGTATCCCACAGGAAAGGCAATTAATGCATTCTTAGAAAGCACCAACTCTTCTTGCAGAGAATCATAGAACCATAGAATGGCCTGGGTTGAAAAGGACCACAGTGATCATCCATTCCAACCCCCTGCTATGTGCAGGTCACCAACCCGCAGCCCAGGCTGCCCAGAGCCACATCCAGCCTGGCCTTGAATGCCTGCAGGGATTCTTGGGCAACCTGTTCCAGTGCCTCACCACCCTGTGTGAAAAACTCCCTCCTAATATCCAACCGAAACCTCCCCTGGCTCAATTTAAAACCACTTCCCCTTGTCCTATCACTATCCACCCTCATAAACAGGTGTATCCTCCCTTGTTTATAAACTCCTTTCAAATATCGAAAGGCCACAATGAGGTCTCCCTGGAGCTTTCTCTTCTCCAAGCTAAACAAGCCCATTTGCCATGCTATGGGAGAGAATAAGCAGAGGAATTGATGAACCTCCTTTCTAGAGCAGATGTTGAACTGGTAGAGCTGTAGAAACACCGCTTTAATGGCTGTAGCTGGAAAACACAGCCACCAGGATGAAGGGTATGAAACAGACAGAGCATCTTCCATGCTCAAAATAAAGAATTTCATACCAAGTTTGTCCTAACACATGCAAGCACACGCCTCATCCTCCGTAGCGCTGGACACACACACACACAAATGTGCTACAAAGGCCGTATGGTCTCTGTAATTTAAAAATATTGAACATTGCTTCAGTTTGGCTTAATTGTGATGACAACTTTCAGACTACTAAAATAATTAAACCTGCTAAAATTTATTAGGGCCCTAAGGACATTTTAGAGGGAGAACTACCCTAGTCTGGAGCTTTAATGCGTCGGCTACATTTAATGTAATTTTTATCAATAACCAAGCAGCTCATAATATTATAGCTCCACTGAAATCTTCACGCTGTGAAATCTAATTCATCTAATACACGAATCCATCACTTACACAGACCCTATCTCAAACGCTATAAAACTTCCAAACCCACAGATTTGTTTCCAACAAAAATAACATGAAGGGGCCCTTCAATCAATAGCAGAATCCCTCTGATTCGGGCACCAGCTGAATATTTTCTCCAACTTTGCTTTTGTTCTTCTGGGTAGAGGCCCACAAGGGAAAGAGCTTGTTTTCACTCGCAGCCTCATCAATACCTAAATCCTGGTGAACAAGTGACACTGAGAAGCTGTAATCAATAGCTCCCTGTGCGTTTTTTCTTCTGGTCAAATGGTTCAGCACTACTGACAGCCCTGACACTCAGAACATGATGCTAAATCTTTATCAACAGCCATCTGGGTGACTGGCAGAACAAGACTCGGGTGGTCATTAACGCTCATGGCAATCTGTGAATAAACTAACTCCTCAATAATGCGTTTGTTTAGAAAAAGGTGGGGAAAAAAACTCCCTGCACAAGGTATCGATTGCCTTTGAACTGCATTTAGCAAATTCCATCTGAGGATGAAGCAGCGCAGCGCTCCGCCGCGGTGCTCCGCTTGTTAGGAGTTTTCAATTTGACGCCATGGAAAACCGACCGTCCTATTATACTGCCTGATGGACTGGAGACTTGCAGAAAGCTGCCAAACTGTCAAAAATAGATCAGCCGGGCCATAATGGAAACAGCTGAAATATCAAGTTATAACATACAACAAGAATCACACTTAGCAAAAAATAATCTTTCAGTTTGCTCATGTCCTATCGCTTTTGCTCCCCCTACTCCCTCACAGAAACAAATACCGTAATGCGAACCAGCATGGGTCCATCTTTATTGCTAGCCACCTAAGGAATTAATGCACAAGTGGTTTTATGTGTTCGCAACATTTCAAATCCATACTTCACAGTCTTCTCATAAATGCACAATTACTCCTTTCACTCTCAAACGTTTAAACTATTTTGGCTGAATAATATCCCTGACTTTCCACAGCTCGATCTCAGCATCGTGGCAGACGCTTAGCTCGGCTTTAACCTAAACAATAACACCACTGGATCGAATATAAAAAACGTATGTAGCTATTGCTGCTGTTAACAGACCGCTGAAGACGTCTTATTTAAGCCACAGAACAGTCATTTAGGATGGCCTTGGACTAATCAGCCCAACATTCGCCATTTCCCATGAGTCTCTGTGATTTCTTTTTGATCCTCCTATACTAGTCTAATGAGATTTTTAATTGAACTTTATGGGTTCCCTTTGAGGACCACAGACCTTGCAGTCAATCTGAACCGCAGTAAAGTATTTGAAGTTTTTCTTGCAAAAGGTGAGCCATCCCCATCATGTCCTTGGCATAAATTGAGGCAAGAATGTCGCATCTTTCAACTGCTGCTGGCACCTCTTCCACCTTCTCATAAATTTGAAGGTCATTGTATGAATTATGGGAAGCAACCCCACTACAAAGGGAAACCTGTAGAATGCACACTACCAAAATTAAACACCGACCCATGATTTGTAGAAGGGAGAAACGTTGTGGTACTTCCTGGAAAAACACTAAGATACACAATTTCATCACAATATTTCACTAACAGCACAATGTCTGCATTCAGCTCCACTTTATTTCAAGCCCTCGTTTTTACCTATAATGCTCTCCTCATTAAATCATGATTATAATACAGTTACCAAACTACAACTTAGTCCTTTAATCAAGGAAGCATCTCAAGGTGCAAACAACTCAACTCAATTTTGCACAGCCTCTACAGCGATCATTAATAACAGCATTCACTAAAGCTTCAGTTTCTCTCCTGTGAACAAAACTCACTAATCTGTTGCATAACAGAACATCGCATTTCTGCTACAGTTTGAAGCAAACGCTACTCAAACCCAGAATTTATATCTGGAAGCTCACGTTACAGGTGGAGCAGTTGCTACCACCACAGTTCTTTGAATTCGTTGCTGCTGTTTTAATGACGCTGTGGTTCGCATGACGTGTTCAGTTTAATGATCTGTTGAGGTAGATTTAAAGCCCAATATCTCATCTGATCAACAAACTGCAAGTGTGTTTATACATGAAAATGTTCACACGTATTCCAAAATTCGATACATGCAGCACACTGCCATATAAACAAGCACAACGTCTAATGGATTTAAGCTTCTAAGCTCCATAAAAAAGTATACAGTGATATTTTAGGTGTATATCAGCTTTTCATACGAAGCAGTTCATATGAGCAGCATAAAGATGCATTCCGTCAATACACCGTATTGCACTTGACAATACAAACTATTTTAATATGATGGAATGCTTTCCAATATAATCTGCTGTACATTAAGAGAAGGTAATACAATGCAAACCTGCAGGAAACAGTTCTCAAAGAATAACAATACAGTGTTGTGCAAAAGGATACGTAATTGCTATTGCCTAGAAATGTACCCTGCTTTGCCCTCAGGCTGCAGTGGAGCAGCAGCATCCAAAGCAGCGGTAACAGCAGGTTGTGGTGTGAAAATCCCTGCTTTTTCCCCCGTGAGGAAGGATGAAAATAGTTCTGAAAATAGACAGCAAAGCTCCTGCAATTTGTTCTTAAATGGGATCCTACCTTATTTTTGTTATTTCCCATCCCTTACTATGGCTAGAATGGTTTCTGTCCCCAGAACATTTTTAATTGTAGTATAGATACTAATGTATAGCTTCAGGGAAAAAAGAGCTCTATTAATATAATACTACTCCAATATTTCATAATAGAAAGCAAGCTGATGATACCATAATGACATCCTTGCCTGTTCCAAAACACATTTTTATTACTAGACATCTCCTGTAGTTAATCTGTAATTTCATGCATGTTCCACGTGCGGTCACAAATACACTCTCTATGTACTTCACTGGGAGCCCCTTTTCACCATGTATTTTCCATATAAATCTTACGTGATCCTTCAGACCTATGAGTCATGACATGCAGCCTGACTATGCATAACATGCAGATTGATTTTATGAATGAAACAAAATACAAAGACAGTATGCGACGGCAACGTGAAAAGCCTCCACCTGTATTATTTTTTCTGAAAACAGGTTCCTGAATCTGCTTTGCAACTACATGTTGCAGCCTTCTATGGATCTCATTAAAGAAAAAAACTGGGAGAACTGAATGGAGAAACAACACAGAAGGTCAAAGATTATGGCAGGTGTATGCTGGAGAAGAGAGGCATTTGGGTGTGGAAAGATACATGTTGCTAAGGGCAAGTGCTAATGAGGGAAAATACGGTGAAGAATGGCCAAAAAAGGCCACAACGCCATTAACAGAAATTTAAGTAGTTTTTTTGTCGTTTTTTTTTCCCTACTTTTTTTAAAGGCAAGGAACGAGGGAATGTGTGAAGCCAGGCAAAGGGCCCTCTCCTCCCTCACTCTCCCTCTCCTTTGCACAGTGACAAACCAAGTTCCCTCCTCCTGCAGTGCACTGATATTCTCACTGCAGCCCAGACACTCCCTAATTCAGGACTGAGCTTCCTCCAAGGGGATCCAAACACGGCCAAACCAGTGGGCCCACATGTAGCAGCAGTGATTCTCACCAGTTTCATTCAGAGTGATCAGTGTGTTTCTGGTGCATAAGTAACATCTGAAAATCCAGACCCTGACAATCAAAAGGGAAAGATAATTACTGGGAAAATGGATGAAGAGACTGAGTACTGTAACACATGGTTTCTCCTAAATTAACAGGACTAACCTAGAGTTACTCTCAGTTCAGGTGACCCACCTTTATCTATCCAATGGAGAAATGTCATTTACATTTTATCTCCAGTGCACAGGAAAAGACTATGTTAAAAATCCAGTGTGTATTATTGACATGAACTAAAATCCCTCCTCTTCCACACTTTCAGAAGTCCATCTCTAACAGCAACCCATCCCAGCCAGCAACGCTTCCACAGCTCCTCATGTCCTGACAAAGGATGTTGGTGCTGAGTGATAAAAGATTTCCCTCCCCGAATATGTAAGAAAGTTTGAGAGCAACAAAATATGTATAGGCTGATGAATTGTAAGAAGTGCAGTGTTCCTTTTCCAAACCTAACACCATAAATGGTAGGGCATAAATCACATTAAACTGGGTTGTGCATTATTGCTGATTAAAAACACTTACTGACCTTATTACTCATGGTAGACCAGTTTTCATAGCAGATAAATTTAATCTAATGACATTTAGCCCAGAAAGCTCTCTAAATCCACCATCTTCCATCAACTTTATTTGAGAGTTGACACGAACTTACAGGATTGCTCCTCATTGCTCCTCCCACCGCTCTTGCTGCTCGGCTGTTGCCTGCTCGCTCTGCTAATTGCTGGTAAGAAATGGCCTCTCCAAACTTCACTTCCCTCAGCAGGGTCCACAACACCTCTTTGGTGAACGAATCTGCAAATAAAGAGAGGACTGTTGATATGTATGCATGGCTGGATAAACAAGGAGACGAAATACTCCAAGCACCCAGTGCGAAGCACAGCCTCCATGGGAACCCTCTAATTTAAATTTAAACAGCCCTGAGACACCGTCCTGTTATTGTGTCCCATATTACTATATTTAAATACATGATTATTAGAAAGAGCGCTTCAAGTAACCGATCACTATAAAAAAGGATTTAAAGCTTTGATTTTCCTATATTTTTAATTTGCTTCAAGTACAATTATCCTGTTAACACATACAATGCGGTTTTTCCATTAAATTGGCAGAGCATAAATTAGCATAGAGTCAAATTAAAAAGGGAAGAAATAACCGGCTCTACCTATTTCACAAAGCCCTCGCATCTCCAGCTAATTTCCAACTTCAGCTGGGACACATGGCAGCAGAAGCCCTAGAGCCAGTGGACCCATATTATCCTGGCTGACTGCATTTTATAGCTGAGCCCCCCAAGCTACTGCTCAGCATTCCAGACATTATGAAACGTAAGGACTGGCTGCGACCTTGAATGTATGGCACATCCTTAATGACACGGGGCTCTGAAAAAAAAATAATGTATCTTCCATTATTTTAATCTTAATTCACCAGCAAATTGCTTCTAAGCATTCCAATTGCTGAAATAATGAATAAGCAAATGCATGAGCTTCGTTCTGCAGTTCAGGGTTTTACCTTCCTAGCCCAGGACTGGTTGACAAAAGGACAACCAATAGCTGCTCTTAGTAGGTTTGACACCGATTGCTCTTCCAAGGCATCAAAAGAAACTCTGCAGATCTAACTAGTGAATAACTCAGAGGAGTGAGCTGGCAAAGAAGAAAAAAAAAAAAAGAAAGAGGCCCTCTGATCTGTTGTAAGACTCACTCCACTCATTTGGCAGAGAAACAAACTGATTTGCAACATTTCCCTTCTTTAGTTGTCAGAAAAGACACTGATTACGTTACATAGCGAAATGTGATTTTGTTCTTAAAGGAAACCCATACACTGTTATGGATGTGTTAAATAATAAAAATCACTTCTTAACTCAACGGAATGATAATCACTTCATTGAAAAAATCTGTTTAGTCTTTATTATAACATTAAGCAAATTAAACATCAGCATAATCCAGGTGATACGAGAAAAGGGTCATCAAAGAAATTAACTTTGTTGTTCATTAATTTACATGGATTAGTAGAGGGCAAAGAGATAGCAAATCTGCTCCAGTTTTTTATGATATAATTTCAAACTGTACACCATTTGTGGCAGTAGGGTGACTTTGGGGTTAATCAGACTGATTTGTCCTTTTAATTGCTTTCTATTCAAAGAAAATTCATTAGATAATGTTCTCTTCAAAATTCATGAATCAATTTAACTGAAGAAACCACATTAACAGCTTTGGGTTCATTAGCACAAGCAGTTGTGTTACTAGCTGATTGCTAGGAGGGTTTCCTTAGGCAAACAGATTTTGTTTACCGTCACTTCTTCAGATAGGTTTCTTTCAGACCAAGTCATAGCTTCTTACTTTTGTTACCTCTTTCCTCAAGCCAGAGAGATCCGTGCTGACCTGAGCACTTGGGGGCTCGGGGAATCCCTGCCTGGTGCCCTTCCCGAGGCACACAACATGCAGGGAGTGCACACTGCTGCTGTGCCCTGCTCCCCTGGTGGAGCTGGTGGTAGCGAGGCACCCACAGCATCCCACTCTTGTGCCATGAACCCAATGGCAGGATCACACACAATCATTCAGATTGGAAAAGCCCTCTGAGACCCACAGCCCACCCTCTCAGTGCCACAACCCTGAGGCTCTGGACACCTCCATGGATGGGGACTGCCCACCCCTGGGCAGCTGTGCCAGCGCCTGGCCGCTCTCTGGGGAACAAGTTGTTCCTCATACTCAACCTGATTCTCCCCCAGTGCAATGTGAGGCCATCATTCTCATCCTATTGCTGTTACCTGAGAGCAGAGGCCAACCCTCCACTCAGGGCACTGTAAAGAGCTTTAAGGTCTCCCCAGGGCCCCTTTTTCTCCAGACTGTACAACCCCAGCTCCCTCTGCTGCTCCCCATGAGACCTGTGCTCCAGATCCCACAGTTTTGTTGCCTCCTCAGGATGAAGCAGAACTGGGAGCACGGCAGCTGGATCCCAGCAGGCCATGGCCAACCTGATAAGCATCCTGCAGCCCACTACAATGAGGCATCATGGAACCAGCCTGCCTCAACACGCAGGACAGATTATCTTCCAGAGGCAGCACATCTGTCATGAGAGAATACGTACCCTATCCATACTGACATAAAACACCAGAAGTTATAGTTCAAAATAATGAAATATTTAGCAATCATGCACATCATTTTACAAACGTATCTGAAAACTCAATTTCATCCTGTAGGGAGCAAATGCATTAATTAGTTTAAGCGGCTCTAACAGACACTGCCAAATACTGTTATTAAACTGTCTGCAAGTGTTAGTGCCTGTAAGCACAACCTTCCCAAATTAGATGGCTGAACTTTCACCAATTTCCAACGTGTGCCAACATTTTATGCTGCTAAGTATCATTATAAAATGCTGTAAAATCCGCACATAAAAATTAACGCCCACGTTTGCTCTATGGAAACACTCAGTGCAGTATGAATTTCATCTGGCTGCTAACTGGGGAGGCAATGTAGGCAGAACAGAGGCTGAGCTGCATCCACGGGACCATCACTCCATGTCCCCAGGCCCTTCACTGCCCTTCTCCAACATAAGGAGTTACGTTTCACACTGAGATCCCACCACTGCTGGACACTGCTGTTCAGTGAAGTATCAGCAGTGTGTTGGATCCTGTATCAGGATGAACGCCTCCCAAACTTCCATGGAATCAGGAGCTGCCAAAGAGGCAGGGGGACACATTTGTCAATTCTGTCAGTGCACTGTAAGTTGACCAAAATAATGCATCATCAAGCCAAGCTGCCCCAAAATTAGCACTTAAAGGTCAGTTATCAGTCTCTAAAATGGGGAGATATAGGTCAGATGCAATGAGGAAATTCTTCATGCACGGGCAGCGTGGCCCTGGCACTGCTGCCCAAAGCTGTGGGTGCCCACTGCAAGAGATGCCCAAGACCATGGCTGGGCCCTGGGAGCCTCACCAGGTGGGGGCACTCAGCCTATGGCAGGAAGGAGCTGGAAAAGTTCCAATCCAACCAATCTGTGGTTCTATGGTCCTATGAAAGGAGGGACTTACACTGGATCTGCTGCTAATGCCCAGCTGCTTCTGGTTGCTCATGGCAGCCTTAGGCCTTAATTCTCCCTAATAAACTCACTCCATCCGCATGGATAAGAGAGTGAAAATCAAATTTGCTTTAACCCTGGTGCATCATAACTTCTTCCCCACTTAATTGGAGGTGGCAATTAGCACAGAGCAATGTGGCACAGCAGCACTCAGGCAGTGGTTGGTAATGGGAGCAGACAGCTGGGTGCTGTGGGCAGCGGAGACAGAGCCAATGGTGACAAGGGTTGGCCGTGGGTCTGCCTCTCTTACTGCAGACCTGGAGGTGAGAAAGGCTCAGAAGATGCACCTTCTGATTTCACCTCGATTTTAACAACTAAAGGTCATTTCCCCCCTTCTCAATAATCTTTGCTACTGCTTTTCTTTTATCGTTTTCTTCTTTTCTTTTTCCTTTTTTTTTTTTTTTTTTCTTTTTTAAATGCAAAGAAACAAACAGCACTCAGCCCTTCTCACCACCTATTCCTGTGGATAGGAAATGCAACTGCCTTGGATAATTTTTGTTTTTATCCTTATCTGCTTTCACCATAATTACTACAGTTAAAACTGTCGCAGGATCACTACACGGTTGCTGTTCAAATACTGCTGGAAGTGTAGTTTAGACAGTGTGGTGACAGCCTGTAAAAATTGTCCATATGTACCATTACAACAGAAAAAAATAGATGAGATTGCTTAAGACCAGACTTGTGGCAAACTTTTTGGCAAAGAGGAGATTCTGAACTTCTACTGTTGCCATCTTCATGAGTGATATTAATGTATTACAGAGACAAAATGCACCCTCCTGTGAATGTTAAATTCTATGGCTGCTGAAATAGCAGAAACAAAGCTGAGATCCTGGCCACTTTCCATGACTGATTTTTATGAACGAAGATGTAAAGATAACCAAATTACTTTAGAGTACACATTTCTGAATTAAACAAGCAACTATGAAGTGTACAGTTAAAAGTATTGTTACAAAAGTGGAAAAGTTTTAACAACAAAACTTACTTAACATGAATAGGTAAATAAGGGTGAGATGTGAGCAATATTCACCTGGGCTCTACCCACCAACAGGGACTTATAATTACTTGGGTTGCCTTTCTAGCCCCTATTTGCTGAATTAAATCATTGATTGATACACATCAGGCAGCCCACACGAAAAGCATGGGATGCAGCACAGCCCCTGATGACACAATGCAGGTGCTGTCCCACAGCTGCCCACAGGTTGCAGTGCTCTGCCTTCTGAGCAAGCATGGGAAGTGCCAAAATGCTGGGAAGAAGAGTGCTTTCACAATGCATTCATGTGTTTTTGCTTTTATACACAATATAAAATATTGACGTATCTATAACCTCTAAGCATGATGCGTATTTACATCGCTTAGGTGAAGAATTTGTCAATTATTTTTTTAAAAAAATCTGGATGATGTTCAGATTGGTTCACACAAAGTGGCCACGCTATGATAAAACCCAATTAATGGGAACTGTTTCTGATCTGTAGTTTAACACAGTTTTAAATGCAGTTCCCTTCAGACTGCTGAAGGGTTGTAGGGCCAAATTCTATCCTTAGAAGCAAGTAACTCTCTCTGGACTTAATCCAGCAGTATTTCTTCAGGTTAAACTCCCTGGAAGTCAGTGGGTGTTTTACTTGAGTAATAACTGTTATTCTGACCCATTTTTGAGCAGTAGTTTTAATAGCAGCTTTCCATGCACTTACCAGAACAGAGTATAATTTTAGAGCTAATGGAAATGA